CCCTAAACCCGAAGCCCTAAACCCGAAGCCCTAAACCCTAAACCCTAAACCCTAAACCCCAAACCCTAAACCCCAAACCCTAAACCCTAACCCCTAAACCCTACAAGAATGACCCCCAAATGGGGCACCGATATCGGAGCCAAGGAAGCTGGCCAAAGAGCGAAGTGCGCAGAAAGTCGCCGAGCTGCGAGGCAGGTGCCGGATTTTCCTAAGGCTCTTGAAGGGTTTGGGGTTTAGGGTTTAGGGTTTAGGGTTTAAGGTTTAGGGTTTAGGGTTTGGGGTTTAGGGTTTAGGGTTTTTAGGGTCTAGGGTATGGGGTGTAAAGCTCTGCAAGGCCGAGCCCGAATGTCATTTTTGTATTCAAGCACTTGTTTGGGGTTCAGGGTTTAGGGTTTAGGGCTTGGGGTTGTTTATTCTTTAGGGTCCGGGTTGAGGGCTTACGGGGCGCGTTGGGCTCCTAGGGTTGTAAGCCCTACTGCGCTGTAACCTGAAATCTGCCCCAACAATCCCACAAGCAGTCGCTCTAAACCCTAAACCCTAAACTCATATGAAGTAGGGTTTACTGCGCCGGGCCAATAGTTCGACCCACCGACATCTAGAGGTCCTTACACCTGTTCCCCGCCCTCTTCCCCATAGACTCCTGACGCAAGTGAGCCTGGGGACTCCTCCGGAGCTTCTGTAGTACTATATTTTCAAAACGGGGTATTAATTTCTCCGCTGGCAGGCGTAGGGAAAGCTCCACTTCTCGGCACTCCGCGACTCCGCGCAAGTCTTCACTTTCTGCATGCCATCCAACAATGTGCTGTGGGTCGAAACTCTCGGCCCGGGGGTGCCTTCCGTAAGCACTTTTTGAAGCAGACTCTGGCCACCAAAACGCATGCTGCCTTCCGTGTGCACTTTCTGAAGCAGACTCTGGTCACCAAAACACATGCTGCCTTCCGTAAGCCCTTTTTGAAGCAGACTCTGGCCACCAAAACGCATGCTGTATATTTCAATTACCGGTGAGTGCATATAAGGTTCCTGTCTAAATATTGGTGAGTGTCTTTTGGGGGGTACAAGAAATATAAACCCTACTTCACGTCCTCGACCACTGATGTTGTGTGCTTGCTAACCGTGCTTATTTCAAATCTAAGCTGCCTCACCTTGATATGATTCATGATCTCGAGTCCGCAGTACAAGAAACATAAACCCTACTTCATGTGCCTCCAGGCTGCACTGCAGGCTTCCACACGGAGCTCATGTCACCAGCTGTGGTTCCTCGGCGGCAGTTTGGAGTTCCTCTGGGTATGGGTTTTTTCGGGTTTAGGGTTTAGGGTTTAGGGTTTGGGGTTTGGGGTTTGGGGTTTTAGGGTTTTAGGGTTTAGGGTTTAGGGTTTAGGGTTTAGGGTTACGGTTGGGCCTTAGAAGCCCCAAACTGCAGACCTCAGCCCTTGAAAGGTTGCCGTCAACGAAAAGGCTCTAGGCTCAAGGATCTAATCAGTGCTTCGGAGCCCCGAAACTTTGGACGTTAAATCCTAAACCCTAAACCCTAAACCCTGAACCCTAAACACTAAACCCTAAACCCTAAACCCTCATCCTAAATTCCGAGGAGCCACTTCGTCAGCATCTCCTGGAGATGGAGCTTCGGCTTTCCTTGGTCCTGTGTTTGGGTGTTTAAGGGCTTCAGGGTTTAGGGTTTAGGGTTTAGGGCGTCGTGTGGGTGTTTAGAGTTGTTTGGGGCTTAAGGGATTAAGGTTTTTGGGGTGGTTGTGGGCCTTAGGTTCGATGTTGGGATCGGATCGAGTCTTGTAGTGTCTGGTCCCCCGGTTCAAAGTACCCCAAAGATCTAAGACGTACCCTTCGAGAGTCCAAGGCGTTTATTGGTGTAGGGGATGTGGGGGTGTGTGTGCGTGTACCCATCATCGGCCCCTATGGCATAACGCCCCCCAGCAGCAAAAACCTAAACCCTAAGCCCTAAACCCTAAGCCCTAAGCCCTAAGCCCTAAGCCCTAAGCCCTGGACCCTAGACCCTAGAGCTTAAAACCCTAAACCCTAAACCCTACCGGACACGGCAGAGGTGAAGACCGGGGCGCTGCGGAGCCCAGAAATCACGGCTGGGGGCCCCGGGATGAGGGTTTAGGTTTTAGGGTTTTTTAAGGTTTAGGGTTTAGGGTTTAGGGTTTAGGGTTTAGAACTGAAAGGTTTAGGGTTTAGGTTTGAGGGTTTCTAAGGTTTGGGGCAGGGTTTAGGGTTTTAGGGTTTTAGGGTTTGAGGGTTTTAGGGTTTGAGGGTTTTAGGGTTTGGGGTTTTAGGGTTTTAGGGTTTTTGGGTTTTAGGGTTTTAGGGTTTGGGGTTTATAAGGTTTGGGGCAGGGTTTTAGGGTTTTAGGGTTTTAGGGTTTTAGGGTTTTAGGGTTTTAGGGTTTTAGGGTTTTAGGGTGTTTTAGGGTTTTAGGGTTTTAGGGTTTTAGGGTTTTAGGGTTTTAGGGTTTTAGGGTTTTAGGGTTTTAGGGTTTTAGGGTTTTAGGGTTTTAGGGTTTTGGGTTTAGGGTTTGGGCGTTTGGAGTTCAGGGTTTAGGGTCTCGATTTTTGGTCCGGCCACTGCTCTCGAAGTGGTCGGTTAAAGCTTCTGCAAGCTGGAGCCTCATGAGTTGCTTCTGACGACCCGGGGTCTGGACAATTGCAACTTAGCCGTTCCTCCAGGGTTCGAAAGGACGGCCCCCCCCCCCCCCCCCCCTCCGCCCCTGTGTGCGACACTCCTCACAAAATATCCTGCACCCTACCTGCTGTGCCGAGGTCTACTCCTCCCAGACAGGAGAACGATGGCTGCCCGGAACGCCAGTGGCATCCATCGTCGACGGGCTAGCGCACGGCCTGACGTCGCCCAACCAGTGGGCCCCTTTGACTTACAGCTTTTGCGGTCTTGGGGTTTGGGGTGTTTGGGGCGTTTAGGGCCTGGGCTGGGGCTGTGGCTTTGAGATTTCAACTACCATCTCCAGCTGGAGTCGGGGGTCTAGGAATGGGGATTCTTGCGTTGCAGCTCGGGTAGGACTGGAGACGTTTCGTCTATGGAAATGTATGTTTGGATGGAGGTTGTTTTGAATGAGGGGGTTTCGAACGTTCTGCGTGCTCTCAAACTACCAAGAATAAGGTATAGACAGTGCAGCTGTTTGAAGAAGACCGTAATGTAGAAGAATCCCAAGACTACCACGAACATCGTAGTAGTGGAGTATGTAACCTTCATCCTTTTTGGGATAGTACAATCCCCTTATAATCCCAAAGGATAATTTTTAGTTCCCCTAGCTACTGGACAACTAAGATATGGTATAGACAGTAACTGTACTTGTCCAAAAAAGACCCCAATGCAGAAGAATCCCCAGGATCCACCCTAAACCCTAAACCCTAAACCCTAAACCCTAAACCCTAAACCCTAAACCCTCCAGCAGGGATTCGGAGTTTGCGGCTCTCAACCATAAACCGTTCCCAACATGCCATTAAGAGAGCTCAAGCCAAACTAAACCCTAAACCCTAAACCCTAAACCCTAAACCCTAAACCCTAAACCCTAAACCCTAAACCCTAAACCCTAAACCCTAAACCCTAAACCCTAAACCCTAAACCCTAAACCCCAAGCCCTAGACCCTAAAACCCTTGGAGTTGGAGGAAGACACCTGTCGTGCCATCATCGACGACGGCGTGGAGTTCTTTTGGGAGATTGGTCCAATGAAGCAGCTCAAGGCGAGGCTTGACGTTCTTTTGGGTTATAGGGTTTAGGGTTTTGGTTTTAGGGTTTAGGGTACTCAAGCATGGAACAGGAGAACGGTAGGGTTTTTGCGAAAGCCCAGAGAAGACCTACTGAAGAAGATGCCAGAGCTCACTTCGCATGGGAGGAGGTGTCTTCCATCTGCTGGCACGACAACTGCCATGTTGTCCACTTCCCATCTCACACCAAAACCCCTGAAATCCAAACCCGAAGCAACCTGAAAGCCCATGGCCCGTATAACATCAGGCGATGATGCGGCACATTGACTACCACCAGTGGAAGAGTATGAAGTGCATCGACTGCTGAGAGCAGTGACATGCGAGTTTTGTGCGGAGTAAAAGGCTGCCGATGGAACCTAGCAAGCTTGCGAGTCTTGGGTTTAGGATTTTGGGTTTAGGGTTTAGGCTTTAGGCTTTAGGCTTTAGGCTTTAGATGACTTAACTGGCCCAACTCTCGCGCGCAATTGTGTAGCCCAAGCAACGTGTTATCTCACCGCAGCATGTTTCGATGTTGCCTTGAGGGAAGGTTCCCGAGCAATAAGACTCTGTGAACTTTAAAAAAACCCTAAGGGTCCATGTACCTAATTATGGAATACTTGGGCCTTAAAGTACTTCCTATATAAGGACTTTTTGGGTCTAAGTATATAATAATAAGGTACATGGACCCTTAGGGAAGCCTGATTGAGCAGCACGTGGGCAGCTACTGAATTACTGTGCTTTTGGGTTGAGGGTTTTGAAGTTCAGGCTGCGTGTCGTGATAGGAATCCCAAAAGGGGACCATGGGGTTAGAGAAAGTGCACGTGTAACCAAAAGCAAGGCGGCGCCGGAAGCACCTAGACGGTTGGGTAGCGTTCTTTCATAGTCTGATCGCTCTTGGGGAATGACTCTTCCCTAAAACGCAGTAGAATCCATAATGCAACTTACTTACGGCTGGGTAGTAGGGAATGCGGGGAATGGGGTACCCTATAGAATCCTTAAAGGGTATATTGAGGGCCCTAATTCCCTCGTTCCCTGCTAACCCATAGTAGGCTTAAACCCTAAACCCTAAACCCTAAACCCTAAACCCTAAACCCTAAACCCTAAACCCTAAACCCTAAACCCTAAACCCTAAACCCTAAACCCTAAACCCTAAACCCCTAAACCCCTAAACACCTAAACCCTAAACCCTAAACCCTAAACCCTAAACCCTAAACCCTAAACCCTAAACCCTAAACCCTAAACCCTAACCCTAAACCCTAAACCCTAAGTTTCGAGCTGAGCAGGACGTCCATGTGTGGCGCATCACCGTGCGGGACTACGAACCTGCTCTTCGGGAGGCCGTCAGCGGGGGTTTAGGGTTTAGGGTTTAGGGTTTAGGGTTTAGGGTTTAGGGTTTGAGGTTTAGGGTTTAGGGTTTAGGGTTCAGGGTTCAGGGTTTAGGGTTTAGGGTTTAGGGTGGTGCTTCAAGTTATGGCCCCTTGCAAGGGCAACGTAAAGTCTAGTTCAGGGCCGGTGTGATTGTTTATAGGTACACCTTAAACCCTAAACCCTACCCAAAGGCTCCAATGTAGTTCCTTTTGGGGTTTGGTATAGGGGATTCTAGTATACTACCCCAAAAAGGGTACTACATAGGAGCCTTTGTGTAAACACTCATAAAAAGGGCAAGAATTTCGGGTGTCTACTATGACTGGCTGGTTCTTAGTAGGGAATGAGGTAATTACCCTCTATGATAACCCTCAACCCTAAACCCTAATCCCTTAACCCTAATCCCTTAAGGCGTATAAATAGGGCCCCTAATTCCCTCATTTCCTACTAAGGCCCAGGGGATGACGTGTCCGGGGTTAAGTTTGCTCCGTGCTGTTTCGAGCAAGGAGCGCTGGACCTTGGCTTTCTGGCTCAGCCTCTGAAGCCCCTAAACCCTAAACCCTAAACCCCTAACCCCTAAACCCTAAACCCTAAACCCTAAACCCTAAACCCTAAACCCTAAACCCTAAACCCTAAACCCTAAACCCTAAACCCTAAACCCTAAACCCTAAACCCTAAGCCGCGGAACCCCAAACTCTAAATCTCTTAGGAAACGAGGGAAGCCTAGACCCGTAAACCCTTATTTTCCAGCTCTGTCGGGAAGCACAGAAAACCCTCAACCCTAAGCCCTAAGCCCTAAACCCTAAACCCTAAACCCTAAACCCTGCACCCGAAACCTTAACAACCCTAAACCCTAAACTGGACGAGTAGGCAACAGAACAGCAGCATAAGGGCCACCCTGGAGGCGAAGTCGTTGACTCCGGCAGTTTACGAGGAGGCCCAAAACCTCCTTGGGGGCTTGTCAGGGTTCGAGATTCATAAGTTGTATATATGTATGTATGTATATATATATAGATATGTATATGTTTTTGGAATTTGAGACTTGGGGTTAGGGTTTGAGATTTGGGATTTAGGGTTTGAGATTCAGGCTTTGGGGTTTGAGACTTAGGGTTTGGGGTTTGAGATTCAGGGCTTAGGGTTTGAGATCCAAGGTGTATAGGGCTTGAGACTTAGGGTTAGGGTTTGGGTTTAGGGTTCAGGGCTTGGTGTTTTGGGTTCAGGGTTTTGGTTGGCTGGTTGGTAAACACCGCTATGTACCAACCCCTGGGCCACCCCAGCGCCTGAGCAGACTGTGGCAAGCTGCGGGCTCCAAACTCTCTAAGTGGGTCTGGAAACAAGCTTTTGGCCAGTAGGCTCAAGAACCCAGAACCGTATGAACCCTGTCAAACTTATCAACCCTAAACACTATCATTAATCCCTATGAGCCCTAAGCCCTGAAGAAGCTGTCAGCAAGATCTCAAAGGTGTGTCCTCCAAGGCTTGCGCCATGATTCCTACGTTTCGGGTTTAAGGTTTAGGGTTGTTAAGGTTTTCGGGTTTAGGGTTTAGGGTTTCGGGTTTAGGGTGCAGGATTGGAGAGCAGGCCCAGAAGAGGCTTCGGGTTGGCCACGAAGTTGTCGGTGTGAGAAAGATATGAACAAGGACAAGCCTGATAGAAATACCCTAAACCCTAAACCCTAAGCCCTAAACCCCAAACCCTAAACCCTAAACCCTAAACCCTGAACCCTAAACCCTAAACCCTTGACATTTGCAATGCTCGTGTTCGTGGGCTCCTCAGTCCCACGACGGGCGTCAGGGAAGTTGTCGAAGCCATGGTTACCAGTATGTTTTTCGGGGCACACTAAATTTAATTTATTGCTTGCAATCCCTAAACCCTAAACCCTAAACCCTCCAGAGACCAGAGATGTAGATGAGACTGAGAGGTGGGTGACGCCTTCCGCCGCCGTTTCGGCCGCTTGTATCTGCAAGAGGTCCTTGAGAGATATAGGGTTTAGGGTTTAGGGTTTAGGGTTTAGGGTTTAGGGTTTAGGGTTTAGGGTTTAGGGTTTAGGGTTTAGGGTTTAGGGTTTAGAATGGTTTACGGTTTAGAATGGTTTAGGGTTTAGAATGGTTTTGGGTTTTGGGTTTAGGGCTTAGGGCTTTTTGAGCTAGGGAACGTCGTTGAGGTTTACAGTGTTAAGGGCTTGAGGCGTCACAACATTTTGGGCTTTGGGGTTTTGCGGGTTTCAAGTTCACAGGGCTATGTGCGAGCCTCCCCCGCCCCCCCAGAGAGAGCTGCTTAGCTTGAATGCTAGCCCCCTTCTGAACCCTAAACCCTAAACCCTAAGCCCTAAACTATAGACCCTAAACCCCAAGCTTAGGCCAGAGATGCTCATGCAGCAGCATGTCGGGGTTATATTGTTACTATTTGTTTAACTCGACATGTCTAGACAGAGATCCCTTAGCCCCTTAGCCCTAGAGCCTCCTGTCTTGGTGCTTCCCAGCCCGGTTTAGGGTTTAGGGTTCAGGGTTTAGGGTTTAGGGTTTAGGGTTTAGGGTTTAGGGTTTAGGGTTTAGGGTTTAACGACTGGAGATTCTTGCTGTCCCCTGAAGAACCCTAAGCCCGATTAGCCCCGATGAGGCCGTTTTGGCATGAGACGAGTGCTTTTTTTGGGGGGGGAGATGGCAGGTTTAGGGAATAGATGTTTTAGGGTTTAGGGTTTAGGGTTTAGGGTTTAGGGTTTAGGGTTTAGGGTTTGGGGAGCTTTAGCTGGTGAGTCTTTTTGTGGGGAAGCTAGGAGGGCTAACCCCTAAACCCAAAACCCAAAACCCTAAACCCTAAACCCTAAACCCTAAACCCAAGATGCAGAACCTAAGCCTCAGGAGCGGCCTTTGCGGGCTGGGCCCACTCCGCGCAGTCCCCAGCCTGCCTCTGCTGTGCGTGGGCGTGGGGTTTAGGGCTTAGGGCTTAGGGTTTAGGGTTTAGGGTTTAGGGTTTAGGGTTTAGGGTTTAGGGTCTAGGGTCTAGGGTTTAGGGTTTAGGGTTTAGAGTTTAGGGCTTTGACAGGTTATAGGCTATAGGGGCTTAGGAGGTTTTGGGCTGAGGAGGTTTGGGGTTTCAACCATTTAGGGAGAGGGTTGGTGTGTCAAGTTCGTCCTTCTGGGCGGATCTTCTTCACCCTCACTAGCCTATTATCGCCTTTGCCGCTAAGCCCCAAGCTCTGCAAACCCTCACGCCCTGAATGAAGCAACCACCAATCCCTAAACCCTTAAACCCTAAACCCCAATCCCTAAGCCCAGAATTCCACTAAACCCCCGACCCCTGGGCCCCTGATCTCTAACCTCCCCCCCGGTTTAGGGTTTAGGGTTTCGGGTTTCGGGTTTAGGGCTCAAAAGCGCTTACCCTGAACCCTTCACCCGCCAAAGCCCGGTTCAGGGCTTGAAGGGCTTTCGTGATAGGGGTTTAGGGCCTTGGGGGGCGGGGGCTTCGGAGTCAGGGCATTGGGGCTTTGAGGTCTTAGGGTCTTTCATAATTCTCGTGCTTAGTGCTTTGGGGCTTTATTGTCTTTAGGGCCCCAAACCACCTAAGGGGCAAGATCTCGGAGTCCACCCGGTCCTGGGGCTTCGGGGCTTGATGGGTTGAGAGGCTTGGAGGGTTCCGGGCTAAGGATTGAGGATTTTCAGGGTGATTCCAGGGTTGCCCCAAGAATCTCTAAACCCTAAACCCTAACCCTTGACCCTAGACCCTAAACCCTAGACCCGAAACCCTAAACCCTATACCCTAAACCCTAAACCCTAAACCCTCCCTGATCCGTGCTAGAGAGGTCCTGTTCGGCGCAGAGCTGGCGGCGGAGAGATTGCCTGCAGACCTGCGCAAGGCTGGGCCTCAAAAACCATCAAAAAAGGGGGCTCATGAACTCAGCAACTAAGACCACCAGCGCCCTATAGGGTTTAGGGTTTAGGGTTTAGGGTTTAGGGTTTAGGGTTTAGGGTTTAGGGTTTAGGGTTTAGGGTTCAGCAGCTCCGGGTCGAGCAATCTCTAGTAGAGCCGCTGTTTGGGCTCTCGAAAAAAACCCACCCACCCAGAGAATCCCAAAACATTAAGAAATAAAAGGTTCACATTTCTCATCAGCAAGCGCAACAAAATGGCTTTGCCCAATAAAAAAATGACCTTGCCCAGTAAAAAAATGACCTTGCCCAGTAAAAAAATGACCTTGCCCAGTAAAAAAATGACCTTGCCCAGTAAAAAAATGACCTTGCCCAGTAAGAAAATGACCTTGCCCAGTAAGAAAAAAATGACCTTGCCCAGTAAAAAAATGACCTTGCCCAGCAAAAAGATGACCTTGCCCAGTAAAAAGATGACCTTGCCCAGTAACATTTTTATTGGGCAAGGTCATTTTTTACTGGGCAAGGTCATTTTTTTACTGGGCAAGGTCGTTTTTTTGGACGAAACGACCTTGCCCAGTAAAAAAACGACCTTGCCCAGTAAAAAAACGACCTTGCCCAGTAAAAAAATGACCTTGCCCAGTAAAAAGATGACCTTGCCCAGTAACTCCTTAACATTTGAATTATATATGAAAGAGAAGTTTAGGGTTAAGCCACACCCTGTGGCCAGGAGATGGAGGAGTTCCGGACCTGGGAGAAGCAGCAGAAGCAGGAGAAGCGCCCGGGCGCTCAACCTTAGCGTTGCTGCTTCGGATTTTCGGGGGGGGGGGGGGGGGGGGGGGCGCTTCGGTCTCCGGGGTTTGGGTTTAGGCTTGTTTAAAGGTTTAGGGTTTAGGGCTTAGGGCTTAGGGTTTAGGGTTTAGGGTTTTGGGCCTTGGGGTTTAGGCTAGCTACATGTGTCTTTTGTTGCTTTGAAGTTCTACGGGCCCCCAAAGAAGATTAGACATGACAGGCCCGCTCCATCCCACGGCTTCAGTTTTGGATCCCTAAACCCTAAACCCTAAACCCTAAACCCTAAACCCTAAACCCTAAACCCTAAACCCTAAACCCTAAATCCTAATTCAACTAAACCCGAAACCCGAAACCCTCAACCCAGGGTTTCGGGTCTAGGGTCTTGGGCAGTTCCGGGCTTTCCGGCTTAGAGCCGCCCGAAACTCAAGTTCTCGTGATCACACGAGGCTGGAGTCCTACGCTGCAGGACTTGGGGTTGTGGGGGGTTGGGCGGGGGGGGGGGGGGCAAACCACAAACCCTAAAACATACCCCAAGCCCTAAACCCCTACAAACCTTACAAAACCCTACAAACTTCACAAACCCTACGAGCTTCACAAACCCTACAAACTTTACAAACCCGACAAAACCCTTCAAACCTTAAATGCCCTACAAAGCCCTTCAAACCCTACAAACCCTACAAACCCTAAAGCCGAGGCCATAAACCTTTCCAGGGCCCAAGGAACCCAAGAGGCAAGGGGTTTAGGGTGTCAGGGGAGGGATATGGCCCTAAGCCCTAAAACTGCTGCGTGTTCGTCGAGAGGCTCATCAAAGTTTCAGGGTTTCAGGATTTAAGGTTTGGGGGGTCTGGGGCTTGACAAACCTACCGCAACCTTGCACCAGATGCCGTCAAACCAAGGAAAGCCGCCAAGAAGCCTTCGGCGAAAGCAGCGCAAGCGGCAAAGCCCCAGAAGAAGGCGCGGCCGATTTCTGCCCTACCCTAACTTGAGACGCGAGGCCCGAAACTCTAACAATCCCGAAGCCCTCCGCCTATCAGGTGCCGGCGGTCCGGAAGAAGCCGGCCAGCTCCGCCGGGTCAAAACAAGAGTGTCATTGGGCGTTAGGGTTTAGGGTTTAGGGTGTAGGGTTTTTCGGGCCAGTACTCAGCCCCTGATCCAAGACGCATGAAGCATCTTGAAGCCAGCCTTTTCACCACACCTGCGCTACTCAAAGGTCAGTTCACCATGCGGGTTAAGTACCATTGCGATCGATGCGCACCAACTGGCTGCTCCACCTCGACATGAGAGGACATACAGCAGTAGCCCTAAACCCGAAGTACCCCCGAAACCTGAGTCTTAACGCTCGTGGGGGGTGCCTAGAAGAATAGTGTGTATAGGGGTTTAGTGTCGAAGGTTTAGGGCATTGAGGTGTAGGAGTTGCTTTGGGGTTCAGGGCGTAGTCATTCCACTGGATCTAAACCCTAAACCCTAAACCCGAAACCCTAAACCCTAAACCCTAAACCCTAAACCCTAAACCCTAAACCCTAAACCCTAAACCCTAAACCCTAAACCCTAAACCCCAAGCCCTGCATCTTTGTCTGCCTACTCTTCGCTTTCGGGCTCTCAGAAGGAGAGGGATCCGGGGGCAAGGGGGGGGCGCCAAAGAATGACAGTCTCGCCTGGGGCCTCGATGGAGGGTTTAGGGTTTAGGGTTTAGGGTTTAGGGTTTAGGGTTTAGGGTTTAGGGTTTAGGGTTTAGGGTTTAGGGCAGGGTTTGCGTGGCTGTAGGGTTGCCCTTGGACCGCTTGTTGTTTGGCGGAGGAGTGAACCGCTGAATCTCCAGAGTTTGGGATCACTTGGGCAAGTTTGTGGGAGGCGGTCTTGAAGGTTTGAGGTTTAGGAATCTTACCCTCCTAAAGGCTTGTCTCCATCCTGCCACCTGCAAATGTTCCTGACTAACTTCTCCGATCCAGGATCCAGAGAAGGGCCCTTTTGCCCATGCTTTTTGTTGCGATAGGCTCCGCTAGAAATCTCTTCAACTAAAAATGGGGTACCCTTGGTATTCCTCGTTTGTGCTGTGCTTGATCGCCCTATAGTCTATAAACCTTTGATACCAAAAGCGGCCGCAACTGTGAGAGGCACTCGTATGGGAAGTTCTCCAGATGATTGTCCCGTTCTGGGCATACACTGGCTATGGTAATACGGCCCCTTACGTTTCGCAAACTCAGCAAAGAGTCACGTGTAAAATAGTAATACAATGAGCCCAAATATAATATGTTTAAAAGGGGCTCTAAATTCTAATAGTAAATAACGTGAAGAGAACAAGAATAATTTAATGAGCAATGAAGTGAATAAAGAGAACGAAAGCGCGCCATTTTAATTATTATGTGAACGGAACACAACAATATTATAAGGCCTCTTATAAATACTCTTAAAATCCCGCGCACACACACACACACAGTTGGGGTTTGTGCACATTCATTACGTTCACAATCTAATATGTGCAAAAGACCCCAATAATAGTAGTAAACATATGCTCTTTATTGCGTACATTTTCTATGTTGTTATCTTCTGGTTTTCTTTCAGGAATTATGAAGCATATTAAGTTGATACCAAATAATCTTCCTCTTCTACTTCACTTTTATTATTATTATCTTCTGCTTTTCTTTCTTCGAATAATTCCCGGGGCGTTCAGAAAATACTAATATTGCCCGGGGCTACAGCATGCATAATGGTAGAATAAATTGATAGGAAATGAATGTACGGTTTTTAAATAGAAAAGTTCTTGTAAGCTCTTCGTATCTTTTCTATAATATTTTCTCTCTGTCTTTATTCATTCATTCGTTCATCTTTCCACTCACGCATTTTCTAATGCAGTTTAATACGGGCACAAAGATGTCTTTTTATAGTGTGCCCGCGAGGAAGAAGATAATAATGGATAATATGAAATGAATGCATGAAATTGATTATTGCACAGGGAACGAAATACGGGCCGTTTTATTTTCTTATTGGCCTGTTCATTACAGTACTATTATTGTGTCCCCGTGCACAACCGAAAGACAAAGACAGTGGCACTTGGGGCATTTCTACCTGCTGCACTCTGCGCCAGGGTTTGCGTTGCTTGTCGTTGCACATGTTTTGTAAGGGCTGCATCCGTTTCAATGAAAAATTAAAGTAAGTGCCAGCTTCAATGCGTTCACTCTTGCTGCGCCCTCCTCTGACCAGGTACTGTCGTGTTTGCTGCCCGTTGACCCAAGACAATACTCTAAAGTCGCGTGATACATGGAATCTGATCGGGGTAAAAAATATGCTGCCAGCAGGGCCACCACCAACTTGTGGGAACATTGCAGAACGCACCATGGCGTTCTGAAGGACCCTGAGGACCTGAGGACTTGGCTGCTGGAACGCCTTACAGCGCATCGACGCAGTGCTGACGTTGGGCTTCGTGGTGAAGGATCTCCGCTGCATGCGTGTGTTCGAAAGCAGCGGCGAAGCATGCGCCTACAAAAAGGCTCGGGGGAACATAGGAGGCAGGTTGCAACTCATGTCAGGCCATAGAACTTGGACAAAGCTACCAGCCCTTAACCCTAAACCCCAAAACCCTACTGGTAACCTACTTCCTAAGTTCCCTCAGCCTTCAAGTAAATGGCGTCCTTCAGTTTTCAAAGTGTCCCACCCAGTCTTTACTCTGTTGGTGAAGGTAGTAGGGTTTAAGGTTTCGGGTCGAGGTTCCAGGGTTTAAGATTAGTGCGCAGGGTTTAGGGTTTAGGGTTTAGGGTTTAGGGAGAACTATCCAAAGACTCTGAAGGCTTGGTAAGTAGGTTAAGAATCAGGCAGTACGATAGCTCAACTCAACCAACGTAACCCCACTTCTAAGCGGCTTACTGAGTGCCTTAAGCCCTTACTACGCTCTGCTACCTATAAATCTCGATTGTGAGCCCTATCAACCGCATAAACCGTAAACCCTATACACCCTGTGGATCCTAATCCCGACTGGTACAAACCCTATATGTATATTTCAGGCCTAGCGGCACGGGCCGGCCCCCGCCCCCCACAGCACGAAACCTTGAACCTTGGCACTGTCTTCTCTTTCCCGTGTCTTTGTCCTCTCCTTCTCTCTGTCTCTCTTTCTCCTGCCTTCGCCCCCCCTCCCTCCCCCCCCCTCCCCCCCCGGCGCGCGCGCGCGCGCGCGCCGCGCGCGCGCGCGCGCACCCGCATCAGGAGCATCAGTGGGGTTGGTTTGGGGGCCTTAAAAGCATTCTATGCATGCGTTTTGCCTTCGAAAAACCTTCAGAAAACGCTGTAAACACGTGTTTTTGGGCCTGGGAAGCCTTTTGGAACCCAGGAAAGGGAGCATCATGAGCATCAGCGGCCTCCCCCAGGCCATCCAAAACCCCCTTAAACACGCCGATTGTATGTGCTTGAACCCTTGCGTGCCCACGAAACCCCCAAAAGCAAGACCCCGAATGCCCTTAAGGGCATTTGGGGTCCTGCTGTTCGGGTGTTTTGTAGGCGCGAAGCCGTTCGAGCGCGTAAAATGAGCGATTTTAGGGGCGTTTTTACGTGGACCCACAAAACACTCGGTATTTACGAGGTTTTCTGCTGTTGGAACCCCCCCCCAAACCGAGCATCATGAGCATCAGCTGGGTCTCTGGGCCGTCGGCCCGGACCCCCCCACGAAGCCCATGAGAAGCGATGGCTCGATGATGCGCCCGGACCCCGCGCATCAGCAGCATCAGCAGACCCCCCCCCGGACGTGGGTTTCGATGATGCGCACTTTGGGGGCGGGTCAAGGGCAACAGGGGTGGGGGTCGGAGGCACGCGTGAAAAACCTCATAAAAACACGGTATTTACGGTGATTTCAGCGTTTTTCAGCGTTTTTTTACTGCCTTGGGGCCGCGGGCCAGGGCTGCTGATGCTCATGATGCTCGCCTGGTTTTGGGCTTCCGGTACCCCCCCCAAACCTTGAAAAACGTGGTTTCGGCCTGGCGCGCGCCCCATGTGAAAAGCTAGGGTCGATGATGCGCGCCTGTGAGGGTTTAATGGGGTGCTGCGGGTGTTTTGTGGCCTCGGTTTTTCGTAAAAAACCATGGTTTTTACGTGGTTTTCGTGCTTTTCGCACCACCGTGTGTTGCGTCCCCTTGGATGCCGTTTTGGAGGCCTCCCCAAAGACCCCGCGCGAATTTGAAGCAATGTTGGGCGGGGTCGGCGGCTCGGGCGCTCGCCCCTTAAAGCTAGCGCTTTAGTGCGACGCGGGCTCCGCCCTGGACCACGCGCGGCGCGGGGGCCGGATTTAATGGCTACCGACAATGCCGCCGACCCCGACAGGAGGCCCTAGGGTTTACACAAACACCCCCTACATTGCGCTTACATATATCCATAGGTTCTAGAGTTCAGGGGGGGCGAAACATTGAGTTCACGCGCAGGGAGTTGGCGCGCAACTTTAAACCCTAAACCTCACACCTTAAACTCGAAACCCTGAACCCTTAAACCCCAAACTACTAAACCCTCAACCCCCTTAACCAGGAGAGCCGAACCGGGGTGAGGTGGGGGGTAAGCGGTGATGGCGGGGGGGTGGGGGGGGTTGGGGGCAGAGGTGAAGGGGTGAAGGTGGGGCGGGGCGGGGTGGGGGGGTGGGCGGGGGGGGGCGGGGGGGGTCCGGGCATGCTTCCGGCCCCCTGTTTGCCCGCCCACTGCCCCAACCTTGGCCTCTGCCCCCTCCCCCCCCCGCCCTCACCCCTTACCCCCCACCTCACCCCTACCCCTGACCGGGTTTAGGGCATGCCCGACCCCACCCCCCACCTCACCCCTACCCCTTGCCTTTTTTACTTGGAAATGAAGTTTTGAGGGCCCCTCACACTTCATTTCCAAGTAAAAGGCAAGGGGTAGGGGTGAGGTGGGGGGTAGGGGTCCGGGCATGCCTTAAACCCCTGACACACTTCATTCCCAAGTAAAAGGTCAGGGGTAGGGGTGAGTGGGGGGGGCAAGGTTGGGGGCAGAGGCGAACAGTGGGCGGGGTGGGCGGGCGTGGGCGGGGGGGGGCGGGGGGGGCGGGGGGGGTCCGGGCATGCATTGGAGCCCCTCAAACACTTCATTTCCAAGTAAAAGGCAAGGGGTCCGGGCATGCCCTAAACCCCTGACACACTTCATTTCCAAGTAAAGGTCAGGGGTAGGGGTGAGGTGGGGGGTAAGGGGTGAGGGCGGGCGGGGTGGGGGGCTGCGGGGGCCAACATGGGGTGAGAAGGGGGGTGGGGGGGCAGTGGGCGGGGTGGGCGGGGTGGGCCGGGGGGGGGCGGGGGGGGTCCGGGCATGCACTGGAGCCCCTAAAACACTTCATTTCCAAGGGTGAGGGGGGTGGGGGGGCATGCGCTGGAGCCCCTAAGAGGGTAAGGGTGAGGTCGAGGGGGTGAGGGCGGGGGGGTTTGGGCATGAGGGCAAATGGGTCTTCACTGACGCCTTCCCCGCTAAAGCAGGGGTCGGCGGATATATATACATATGTTGCCCTAACCCTAAACTTCATAAGCCCTACAAGCCCTGAGCCCTGTAAGCCCTGCAGTCCCTCAACCCTGCAGGCACTTTTAGCAGACTTCCTTAACCTTAAAAGATCTTAAACCCTAAGCCCTCTGGAATCGCTTTGAGCTTCTCCAGGTTAGAGAGATTTAGGGTTTAGGGTGTAGGGTTTAGGATTAGGATTTAGGGTTTAGGGTAGGCTACGAGACCCTATCCCTCAGGCGCCACTGGAAGCCGGCTTCCGGAGACCAGCGGAACTTCACCGCCCAGGCCGCGGAGGGTACGAGATGGTGGTGATGAAGACAGGAGTAGGGTTCAGGGTTTAGGGTTTAGGGCTTAGGGTTTAGGGTTCAGGGTTTAGGGTTCAGGGTTCAGGAGGGCGATGAAGATAAGTCTGGGTTTAAGGGAGTTTCGGATTTAGGGGTCAGGGTGTGGGGTGTAGTGTGGTGTGCAGGCTTGAGGGCGTGGGAAAGGTTGCGTAGGGTGTGTGGCGGGTAGGGTTAGGGGTGTAGTTGCGGGCTTCGCAGTTTCGGCAACTTGGGTCTGGTGTTGCGTGGGGCTTAGGGTTTAGGGTTTGGGGTTTAGCGTTTCGGGTTTTGGGGCTTTTGGAGGGTTATCCATGGTTATCCTTTCCCCTAAAGACGTAGACGATGAGTCCTTTGAGGGCAGGCTATAGCAGCATACTTCTTA